TCCTAGCTAGAAGCTATCAATTCCTTTTCCTGAACCATAGAAATCCATACTCCAACCACTTCCCTTATCAAGTGCTCACATTCAGGGGTTAGTATGCACCAGCTCTAAACACTGGAGGGGCCAGATACCAGATTAGATAGGATATAGCCCCTATGCCTTGGATCTGGAGATGTATTCGAATTAGCCTGTCTAGACAGAGCCCTGGAAGCCAATCTAACCCCACCCCACTTGGCCAAACACAATCTGCCCTCTGTAGCTCTAGGTTGCTGTTCCCTGTTCCTGGTACAACAAACTGAGTGGCCCTCCTGGTGGTCTTCTCTAATTCTGAGGTATAAATAGCAGAGAATTCTGTATTTCGTGTATCCACGGTATCAATGTGTTTGGGTCTCATCATGAAAAAAATACTTAAATCTTATTAAATGTTCCAATTTTGTTTATTAATGATTAGAATTATAGTATATGGACATACCAAAATTTGTTTATCCATTCCCCTTTTGACAAGCTTTTTAGTTTTCTTATTCTAGTTTGGAGTAAAAACAAACAAATAAATACATAAAATAAATGGAGCAATAATTGTATAGATATATAAATTCATATATACAATTTCTTGGTTTTATACTTAGAAGTGGAATGACTAGGTCATATGACAGACATATATTTAACTTTTGAGAAATTATCAACATGTTCAACAACTGGTTTTACAATTTTATATCTGGTACGTAAGAGTTTCAGTTATTCCACATTCTTGGCAACACTACATTTTTTACATTCCAATAGACTTGTAGTGTTTTCTCATTGAGATTTTAATTTGATTTTCCCTAATGACTAATGATATTGAACATATTTTTATGTGCCTCTTTGTCATCTACATATTTTTTCAGTGAATTATCTGTTCATTTTTAAAACCTTTTAAATTGAGCCTTTGTTTTATTACTTCAGTTAAAGGATATTTAAAATTTAAGTTTTAAGTTGCCTTTATGTATTGTGGATATAAGCCTTTTATCAGAAATGTAATTTGCAAATAATTTTCTTCTAGTTTTTAAAGGAGACATAGTTCTTAATTGCAATCAAGTCCATTTTTCATTTTTTTAAATGGATCTTTTATTTATTGGGGATCTAAAAACTATTCCCTTACCTTAAAGTCACAAGATTATTTTACATATATATATTTATATACATTTATTAATTATACATATATATTATTAGAGATTTTAAAGATCTAAATTTAAATTTAGATCTATAATTTGAGTTACTTTTGTTTCAAAGTATGGGTCATGATATATTTTTTGCAATTGGTATTCGATTTTATTTGCATGTGCGTATCTAATTTTCCAGTATTATGCATTGAAAATATTGTTTCTTCAATGAATTCACTATGCCTCATTGTCAAAAATTAACTGATTATAAATATGGAAATGAATTTGGCTATTCTGAATCCTTCCATTTCTAGGTGAATTTTGGAAAAACCTTGCCAAATTTAATTAAAAAAAAAAAAAGAAAACCTACAAAATTTTGATTGGAACTGCATTGAGTCTGGATCAATTTAGTTATATATATGTGTATATATACACATATATATAAAACAATATAGTATATATATAACAATATAGTGTCTTCTAACACAACTTCTAACACACCTCTCTATTTAGAGCTTATTTTTCCCAGCAATGTTTATAATTGGTATTATATAGGTCTTGTACATATATGGCAGATTTATTTCTAACTATTTTGTATTTGCTGCCATTATTTTTGGTTCAGCTTGTGATCTCAGGGTTATGAGATTGAACCACAATCGGGGCATGGAGCCCACTTATGATTCTCTCTCTCTCCCTCTCACTGTCTTCCTCCCTGCTCACATTCCTTCTCTCTCTCTAAATAAATAAATAATAAATGAATAAATGTAACTAAAACAAAAATAAAAGTTTTTATCTTATCTCACTTATTCCTTCTTTGATGCTCTTCTTGAGTTTATGTAGATCCATATTTCTGACCAATATTATTTTCCTTCTCTCTAAAGAATTCACTCTTTGCAGATGATGTGATACTCTATGTGGAGAACCCAAAAGTCTCTACCCTTAAATTGCTAGAACTCATACAGTGCTGGCAATGGCCAGCAATCCCTGTACCCACCGATGAAAGATTACTCCAAACTTAGCTGTTAAAGAGAAAAGGCAAGGAGGTCAATGCTCAGAGGCGAAGACCCTTTGATCTTTTTTGCTCCCACTTTTCTTGGCCCTTCAGCATAATCACAAATCCTTATCATTGTTTCTCAAGCATGTGCATTGTACCAAGGGGTCTTACTAAACTAGGAGCATCTGTTTATATGAAAGATATGATATGTTAATTTGCCTGTTTTGCTAAATGTAGCCTAAGGGACAATGCATACATCTCTCAGATCACAGAGTGGCTGTTTGGGCGAGGAAAGTTTGGGAAGGCAACTCCCTGTGGTATTCCAAGGGCTGAGTGGTCTTGCAGGCCATGGCATTCAAAGGCCCATGCCCTTCTCTGAAACATTCCTTTGCCTGCCTCTGTGTTACATTTTATCAAGCCCGGTATTATGGCTGAGTTCCTGCTTTACATTAACCCAAATAATACAGGAATTCAGCAAAGTGGCAGGGTATAAAATCAATGCACAGAAATCAGTAGCATTTCTATATACTATCAATTATAGATGAAAGAGAAATTAAGGAGTTTATCCCATTTATAATTGCACCCAAAACCACAAGATACCTAGGAATAAACAGAACCAAAGAGGCAAAGGATTTGTACTGAGAAAACTACAGGACGCTCATGAAAGAAATTGAGGAAGACACAAAGAAATGGAAAAACGTTCCATGTTCATGGATTGGGAGAACAAATATTGTTAAAATGTCTATGCTACCTAGAGCAATCTACATATTCAATGCAATCCCTATCAAAATACCATCAACTTTTTTTTACAGAGCTGCAACAAATAATCCTAAAATTTGTATGGAACAAGAAGAGATCCCAAATAGCCAGAATGATACTGAAAAAGAAAACCAAAACCACTGGCATCACAATTCCAGACTTTAAATTCTATTACAAAGCTGTAATCATCAAGACAGTGCGATACTGGCACAAAAACAGACATATAGATCAATGGAACAGAATAGAGAGAAATGGACTCTCAATTCTATGGTCAACTATTCTTTGACAAAGCAGGAAAGAAAGTCCAATGGAGAAAAAACAGTCTCTTTAACAAATAGTGTTGGGGAAATTGGACAGCCACATGCAAAAGAATGACACTGGACCATTTTTTTTACACCACACACAAAAATAGACTCCAAATGGATGAAAGATCTAAATGTGAGACAGGAATCCATCAAATCCTTGAGGAGAACACAGGCAGCAAACTCTTCGACCTCAGCTGCAGCAACTTCTTGCTAGATATGTCTCCAAAGACAAGGGAAACAAAGGCAAAAATGAAGTACAGGGACTTCATCGAGATCAAAAGCTTTTGCACAGTAAAGGGAATAGTCAACAAAACCAAAAACAATCTGCAGAATGGGAGGAGATATTTGCAAATAACATATCATGATATGATAAAGGGCTAGTACCCAAAATCTATAAAGAATACATCTAACTCAACACCCAAAGAACAAACAAAGTAATCAAGAAATAGGCAGAAGACATGAACAGATATTTCTCCAAAGAAGACATCCATCCATATGGCCAACAGACACAGGAAAAAGTGCTCCACATCGCTCAGGATCAGGGAACTACAAATCAAAACCACAATGAGATACTTACCACCTCACACCAGTCAGAGTGGCTAAAATTAACAAGTCAGGAAATGACAGATGTTGGTGAGGATGTGAAGAAAGGGGAACCCACCTCTGCTGTTGGTGGGAATGCAAGCTGGTGCAGCCACTCTGGAAAACAGCATAGAGATTCCTGAAAAAGTTGAAAATAGAGATACACTACGACCCAGGAATTGCACTACTGGGTTTTTTCCCTAAAGATACAGATGTAGTGATCTGAAGGGGCACGTGCACCCTAATGTTTATAGCAGCAATGTCCAACGTCCAAATAGCCAAACTATGGAAAGAACCTAGATGTCCATCAACAGATGAATGGATAAAGAAGATGTGATTATACATACATACATACATACATACATCTATATGTATGTATGTATGCAAAGAAGATGTGATTATACACACACACATACATACATATGTATATGTATGTATATACATATGTATATGTATATGTATGTGTGATTATACACACACACATACATACATATGTATATGTATGTATATACAATCTATATGTATGTATGTATAATCACATCTTATACATATATATGTATATATGTATGTATGTATAATCACATCTTATACATATATATGTATAATCACATCTTTATATATATGTATGTATAATCACATCTTCTTTATCCATATATATATATATAGATATCCATTTATATATATAGGAATACTATGCAGCCATCAAAAGAAATGAAATCTTGCCATTTCCAGTGATATGGAATGGAACTAGAGGGTATTATGCTGAGCGAAATAAGACAATCTGAGAGACAATTATCATATACGTGGAATTTAAGAAACAAAACAGAAGGTTAGAGGAAAAGAGAGGGAGAAAAAAACAAAAAACAAAAACAAAACCAAGATGAAACCAGAGTGGGAGATAAACCATGATTCTTAATCATAGGAAACAAACAAAGGGACATTAAAGAGAACATGTGAGGTAATCAGCACTAGGTATTATATAAGACTGATGAATCACAGACCTGTACCTCTGAAACCAATAATACATTATATGTTAATTAATGGAATTTAAATTTAAAAAATTGAATTAGAAAAGTTCTTTAAATTTTTTTTTTTTTTGGCAGTTGAGAAATGAGAAATGAGCTACCCTACGACTTTCTCATTCTGAGAAATCAGAAATTTATTCTGATCCAGTTGTACAACTAATCTAGGACAAATTACCAAAAAAAATTTTACATTATTTCTTCAGGTTTGGCAGTTTTCGATGACTTCAAATTTAGGATCTTCAAATTTGAAGTCCAGGAACATATTCATATCTGCTTTACTGTACATTTGCTTAAGAAGTTCCCTGTCTAGGTCTTGCTGGTACTCTGGGCCAGTATCAACGGGTTCTCCAGATGCCTGTCGCTTACTTTTGTATTCTCCAGTCTTGTCCAGGAAGGGTTTCTCTACAGGAACAAGTTCCTTATTAAGTGCCACTGCTGTCACACTGATGTTCCTCCTCGTATAAACTGAGACTGCAGACCAAATAAGAGAGGAGAACCTGAAGAGCCTCTGAAGAATCATAATGATTCTGTTACTGACAGGAAACACTTTGGAGGTGGTCCGCCTCTTTTAACATTTCTTGCATGTCAGGTCTGTTGGCAAAAAATTCCCTCAGTTTTTATTTTTCTGAGCAAATCTTTATTGCTTCTTCACTTTTGAAAGATAATTTCCAAGGCACAGAATTCTAAGTTGGTGATTTTTTTTTTCCTTTCAACCCTTTACTTTTATTTCTTTTTTTTAGAAAGAGAGAGAGAGCATGTGTGTCCACCCACATGATGGAGTGGGGGAGGAGCAGAGGGCAATGGACAGAATCTTAAGCTGACTGCAATGAGTGAGGAGCACCACCTGGGGCTGGATCTCACAGTCCTGCGGTCAGGACCTGAGCCAAAATCAACAGTCAGATGGTTAACTGGCTGAGCCACCCAGGTGCCCTCTCAACACTTTAAATATTTCACTTCAAGCTCCTCTTGCTCACATCGTATCTGAAGAGAAGTTTGATGTAATTCTTGTCTTTATTTTTCTGTAGGTAAGGTGGAAGCTGTTTTTGATTTGTTTTTTAATGCCCCCCCCCCGCCTCTTTCAGGATTTTATCTTTGATTTTCTGTAGCTTGAAAATGATAGGGCTGGGTGTAGATGTGTGGGTTCCCCCCTCCCCCCCCATTATCCTCCTTGACATTCTCCTAGTTTCTTGGATCTGCAGTTTGGTAGCTGACATTAATTTGGGGGGAAATTGATCATCATTGTTTCAAGTATTTCTTCTGTTCTTTCTCTCTTTTCCTTCAGTCACAGTCCTTGGATATTCTTTTCTGTTTTTCTCAATCTGTGTTCTCTTTGCTTTAAAGTTTTCAAGACTTTTCCTCTAGCTTAGAGATTTTCCTCTGCAGTATCTTGTCTACTAATAAGCCCATCAAAAGTATTCATTTCTGTTACAGTGCTTTTTATCTCTAGCATTTCTTTTCTTTTTTTTTTTCCTGAGGCTTTCTGTATCTATACTTGCATTGCCTTCTGTTATTGCCTGCTATCTACTTTATTCTTTAGAGACCTTAGCATATTAATCACAGTTGTTTTAAATTTCTAGTCTGATAAATTCCAACATCCCTGTTGCATTTGGTTCTGATGCTTGCTTTGTCCTTTTTCCCCCCTGCCTTTTACTATGTGTGGATATGATGTACTAGATAAAAGGAAATGCTGTTAATAGGTCTTTAGTAAGGTGGTGGCCAGGTGTGGGAGGGGGTGAAGGAATAAATGTTCTGTAGTTCTGTGATTAGGTCTCAAATGTTTTAGTGAGCCTGTTTCTGGAAGGTGAACAATGGTATCTTAGTTTTGTTTCATTTTGTCTCCCCATAGGTGGGATATGGAGACAAGAGTGGGCTGGAGTTGGGCTTTTCCCTTCCCTCAAGGCGGTTAGTCTCTGCTAATACCCCAGAAGGTTTAGGCTTTGGTGACCTAGTTTCCCCTGAGGGCTGGGCTTGTTAAGAAAAGAATGTTCTGGTGTATTTCAAAGTAGTTCCCTTCCCCAACCCCCTCCCTGAAGTTGGAGGAGATCTTTTTCTGCTCTGTGGAAACCTTGCAGATCTCCAGAGGGCAAATCTCATGATTTTATGATTTGTGACTGGATTCCCCCTGGAGTTTTGAACTGTTAAACTTGTCCACACTGAGCTTCTAGTAGTTAATTGATTACAGTTCATGTTTTCTGACCTTGGCATCTAGTCCTGAGGCAGTTTCCACTCTGAGTCTCTGCTCCGAAGTCATGATTAGGTGATTCCGTTTGTCTTTCCAATCTCGGGGGTAGTCCTTTGCTTCTTGTCCTCCTCTGTCTTACAGATCCAAAAGTTGTTGATTGTTTCATGTGTTTAGCTTTTTACTTGTGGTTTGGAAGAGTGGCATCTTTCAAACTTCCTTGCATTGCAGAACTGGAACCTGAGATCCCAGTGTTTGATTTCAGTGCTTATGAAAAGATATGATTTTTAAAACCTCCAGTTAAAATTATTTTTTGGTGCACAGAGAAATGGTTGTATATATTTTAACTTAATTGTTGACCTCAAAAATTATTAATTCTAATAGTTTATCTGCATGTTATTTTGGACTCTATATGCAATTTATGTCATCTTCATATGAGACTATTTTAATTTTTTCTTTTTAACATTTATATTTTTATTTACTTAATTCCCTCAATTTTTTACTCTCTTACTCTTTTGCCTCCTGCAGAACTTTTAATAGAAACAACAGTGGCACGTGTCATTGTCACATTTTGATTTCAAAGTGTGGATAAATTTTCATTGATTACATTTATTAGGTAAAGACCTTAAATTCTGTTTTTAGTTTTCTATATTTTTTTTGCCAAAAATAGGTTTATTAAATATGTTTAAATAATTAACATATTTTTATCCTACTTTAAGGAGGTGAAACAGTAAATAGATTTTTCAATGTTATATTAATCTTGCATTCCTGGAATATATCCAATTTAGACTTTTAAAATCATATTTTTACATTTGCATAGTTTCTGCAAATAAGTTTTTAAACATTTGCATCAATTTAGGAGGTATGGTCACTTATAATTTCCTTTTAATAGTGTTATTTTCAGATTTTGCTATCAAGGTTATTCTGAATTTTTACATCTTCTGTATTGAGTTTGTTGTGTAATATATATTCCCTCAAATGTTTGGAAGAGCTCTTGAAAACTATGAGTCTGACGTTTCTTATTAAACGTTTTTAAATTACAGATGATTTTCTTAAAAATTTTATAGATTTTGATTGCTTTTTATGTCAGTATTACATGATATGATTTTCCAGGGATTTGTATAATATGCTTGAGATTCAAATTAAGCATGAAATTGTGTTTAAAATACACTCTATGAATTTATTATACGTACAGGTTGTATAGTGAGTGTCCTTTTTATTCTGGATGTTGGTTATTGTATCTTCTCACTTCTGTCTTCCATCATTCTAAGGGATTCACCAGTATCTCAGAGTCTTTTCCAAAGAAACAGCTTTTGGCTTTTCCATTTTCTTGATTGTATATATCTGCTCTTTAATTTTTCCTTTCTTCCTCTAGTTAAATATGCATTTGCTGTCTTTTACTTGCTCATTGAGATGGAATCTTAGTTCATTGACTTGGAGCCCTTTTTCCACTTACGATGATGGATTTTCTTCTCAGCAAGTCTGTATGTTAAGAAGTTTCTGTTTGTTAGATTTTACAGTTTTAAAATATGTCTTATTGGGGAATAATTTATATGCAATAAAATTAATTATAAGTATGCTGTTTGAGGTTCCTTAAAAAATGAATACAGTCTTGTAACCACACCACCAAAAACTCATTTAGAATATTTCCACTTTCTAAAAAGGTTCCCTCATTCCTTTTTTGGTCACTCCCTTTCTGCTCCCTCTGTTCTGAAAACAGTTTATCTTTTTTCTACTATTTTAGATTTGTTCTTTGAGAATTTTATATATGTGGAAGCCTCCTTAGGCCACATGTAGTCTTTTTTATCTAGATTGTTTCCCTTAGCATAAGCTTGCTGAAAATCAGTCAGTCATTGGGTATAGTTTTCAAGGATGTAAGTAGTATATTCTTTTTGTTTTTATTTTTAAAGATTTTATTTATTAATTTGAGAGAGCAACACAGAGAGAGAGAGAGAGCATGATCAGGGGAGGCTGGCACAGCAGAGGGGGAGGAAGAAGCAGACTTCCTGCTGAGCAGGGGATGGGGGCTCAATCCCAGGACCCCGAGATCATGATCCAGAGTAAGGCAGACGGCTAACCAACTGAGCCACCCAGGCAGCCCTAGAGTACAAATCTTTTCATGAGCATAGGTTTTCACATCTTTCTGATAAATATATAAGATGTGACTTGCTGAGTTATGTGCTTTGCTGTGAATGTTAATTTTAGCTTTCAAAGACACTGATAAGCTACTTCTTAAACTGGTTGTGATGCTTTGCATTATTAAGAGAATTTAGTGGTTCTGTAGTTTCTCCGACACTTGGTTTTGTCTTTGCTTCTAATTTTTGCTCTTTTGGTGGATATATGATCATGTCTCATGGTCATTTTAATTTGAGTTTCCCTAAAGACCAGTGTTATTGAACATATTTTTGTGTGTCTAGTTGCTGTTTATATATCTTTACGTGAAGTATCTGTTCAAACTTGTTATTGTGAATAGTTTGCCCTATTATTGAGTTGTAATGCTTCTTTATAGATCCTAAATATGAGAGTATTACTGAACTGTATATTTTATAAATACTTTCTTTCTAGTTTGCCTTTTTATGTGTGTGCACATGGGTGGGGGCATGCGTAGCTTGCCTTTGTGAAGGGCACATTTTTTATTTTGAACAAGTACATTTATCATCTTTTTCTCTCATGCTTCTTGAGGCCTATTTAATAGATCCTTGCCTTATCCAAAGGTACAAAGGTTTTCTTTTCATATTTTTCCTTGATGTTTGATAGTGCATATCTTCAGGTCTTTGATCTATTACATCTTATTATTTTGTGTGTATGATTTCAGATGTGTTTAAGTTTTGTTTTTGTTTTATTTACATATGGGCAAAGCTGTTTCCGCACAATCCTGTTGAAAGCATTATCATTTCCACAATGAATGCCCTTGCCAGATTTGTCAAAAATCAATTCCATTTCTGTGTGTGCCTATTTCTGGGCTCTCTGTTTTCTCTCTGCGGATGGATATGTCCACCTTTATACCAAAATTACACTCTGATTTTAGTTGCTTTATAATAAAGTCTTAAAATCATGTGGTATTATGCCTCTTTTGTTTCCTTTTTTATTAGTAATAATACTTCTTTGATGGTTTTGGTCCAATGTATAAAAACCATTTAAAAAAAATATTTGGTTCAGTTTCCTCATTGTTTAGAGGGTAGGTAAATCTCATAAAAGTTTATCATGACTGGCTTGAAGCAGAAGTCAGCCACAAATTTTTTACATAGTTTTTAGGAATAATTTTTTTTTTTTTTTAAGGAATCATTTACAGCTCAATCTCTAAATATAATGTGGTATGCCTAGAGCTTTTCATCACTGAT